CTGGCTACTGACTCGGGAGCCGCCAGGGTTTCCGTCCCTCGGCGCTGTGCAGACCGTGGGGCAGGGCCCCGGCTTTGCAGACCGCAGAACAAACTGCCTGACAAGGCGGGAGGGAAGCCTGGAGGAGCTCCCTTCTGGAATCCGGGCCTCCATTCTGCTTCGGGCTGTGGAGCGGGACGAGGAGAAGCCAGAAGTGCTGCCAGGAGGGGGTCGCAGAGGCGGCACCCCAGCCTCTGCCGCTCTCCCCCTCCCGGCGCCTCTGGCGCTGGGTGTATCTTATCCGGTGTCCTGGTTAGCCTGGACGGGACGGATGGGGTGAGCTTGGAGACCCCGAGTCTTCAGTCCCCGGACTGGGCCGCGATCTCCGATTCTCGTCCCCATTCGCCTATCAGATTATCCTGAACCCCGGGCGCCAGAGGGTCACCTGCGGACTCTGCTCAGGTCAGGTCCATGAAGTGCTTTGAAGACTGAGAGGCCTGGCGAGGTGGTGCATGCCTGGTAATATCAGCACTTTGGAGGCTGAGGCAGGTGGATCACCATTCCAGGTGAGCCTGGGCCACACAGCCAGTTCAAGGTTAACCTGGACTACACAGCAAGACCTTGTCTCAAAAATAAAGGGGATGCAGGGTTGGGGGTTCACCTGCAACTTCTGCCTCCAGTGGCCCGCCTTCTTCTGGGGACCCCTAAGCACACCCTAGAGGGTCGTCTTGGGTCATCACCATGAGCCCTGCAACTCTGCTTCATCCAGACTGGAAAGCAGCCAGCTGCTTATCTGTAAGGAGTGGGCATGTGGTTCCCAGGGGTGCCCCTCCCAAAGTTGAGGGGAGCCCAGAAAGCCCCTGTCAGGATGCTGACTTGGGGACTGGTTATTTATTTCCTCAGAGCCCTGCCAAGCCAGGGCATCGCTCAGCTGTCTCCTCGGGCCCTGCCCGGTCACCCCAGAGCGCAAAGAGAGGGGCACTACTGAGGAGGGCAAGAATCCCGAGGGGTGGGAGGGGCAGGGACTGGCACCGAGGCCCAGGACAGGCGAGTGCCGCACGCGCCCGGAGCAGCGTCAGCGTTGGGGGCAGCGCGGCGTCCCTGCTGCTGGCCGGAGCTCTTTTCACATTGTGCTACTGTCCGCCCGTCACGAGCAGTGCAATGTTAAAAGGGCATTGGCCGGGCAGTGCTACCCAGTGCCGCTGCCCCCCGGGTGCTGCTGCTTCCTGTCCCGTGTCCCCGTGCTGCACGGCTGGTGTGTGTGGTGCTGGGGACACAGCCCCAAGGCCAGCCGCCCGCTCCCTTCTCCGCAGCCTGCAGCCGGACTCCCTGGCAGAACTCCGGAGCCATCTGCTGGCAGTGTGAGGGCACCTTCCGGAGTGCAGCCCTGGCGGGAAGGCCGGACGTGGGGCTGGGCTCCCGAATTGCCAGCGGCTCTGAGAAGGTGGAAGAGGAAGAGGGAGACTTCTGCGCCCTGTACGCCGCCTTGGAGCTGCTCCCCGGCTGGGACTCGGAATCCCTGCCTGCACCCGGTGTCATCACCCCCCATCCAGTGTCCCCCGCGGCCCCTCTTGCCCTAGGGTATTGGACAGCGACACTCCCTGCCACACACCTGTCCCTGGTGTCGCGAAGTGTACAGCGCTGCCCAGGACCTGGTCCTGGGGATGAGACAAACAGGATTTCTGGAGCTGGTGTGGCACACCTGTACTCCCTGCACTCGGGAGGCTGAGGCAGGAAGATCCCCATGAGTTTGAGGCCAGTGGGCTACATAGTGAGTTCAGGGCCAACCTGAACTGCAGAGCGAGCGAGACCCTGTCTCAATACCAAAGGCCATGGCCACCGAACGATTGGAGGCAATAGCTTCCTCTGCCTCCCACAGTGCCTAGGTGGCTTTGTAATACCTTGTTAATGTAGGTTGAGAGGTACTTAGGGGAGCTCTTTAGGAGGATGTCTAGTAACTGGATGCAGTAGCACACAACTGTGATCCAAGCATTCTAGGAGGCTTGAGGCAGGAGGATCACAAGTCTGAGCCTACCTGTGACTTAGACCTTGTCTCAGCATTGAAAGATTTCAGAGCTAGATGTGGTAGTGCACACCTATGGTCACAGCACTCAAGAGGCTGAGGCAGAAGGATCTCCGTGAGTACACAGCCAGTCCAAATACATGGCAAGACTTTAAAAAAAGATTTTTTTAAGTGTTGGGGATTGTACCTCAATTTAAAAGCCATGGATTAGGGCCTGGAATTTAGCTCAGTGGTGCTGCCGCCTGCCTCACAAGTGCGAGGACCCAAGTTCTATCCCTGGTACCAAAAAAACCCCAAGGAGCAAAAAGCCATGGATTCAACCATCAGTACTGAAAAGAGGAAAGAAAATTGTCTAGTTTGTAAGCAGGCATGATGGCACATTGATTCATCCCAGCACTCCAGGAAGCAGAAAGGAGGATCACAAGTCCCAGGCCAGCCTGGGCAACTTAGTGATTTACCAAGACTGTTCTGGGCTGGGAATTTAACTGCAACACAGCACCTGCCTGGCAAACATGAAATCCTGAGTTCAATTCCCAGTACAAAAGAAAAAAAAAAAAAAAAAACCCTCCCCAAAACAGACAAGATGAAACCAAGGAGCTAATTTTTTTTTTTTAAACTTTATTTTTGGTTTTTTGAAACAGGGTCTCTATGTGGTCCAGGCTGCCCTTGAACTCACCATGTTCAAGTCCAGGCTGGTCTTGAACTTGGAGTATCCTCCTGCCTCAGCCTCCTGAGTGCTGGGGTTGTAGGCATGTACCACAACACTGGGCTGTCTTGTTTTCAAGGGCAGTTTTGGCCTGCTTTGGTGCAAAGGTGGGATTATGGGTTTCAGTTCGAGTCCCCTGCTAGAGCCCAAGAACGGTCTCATTGACACAGGAAGTGAGAGCCGGCAGGGCTGTGAGCCCAGCAACCTCCAGCCTTCCCAGCCCTTTCCTCGTGCTATTGCCCGTGTCCATTCTTTCGCCGTGGACAGGGACGGCCTCTCCTGCTGCTGATGGTACTGTTGGTTTCACACCCATTTCCTTCTCAGTCTGGGCACGGCACAGCCATGTGATGATCACACATGCTCGTGAACTAGAATCCTCCCATGGTTCCCCAGGGCCCTGGGATGAAATCGTGGTCCCTCCGGTGGGATATTGTGCAGCCCCCAGCTGTCTTGTTTCATCTTCTCTTTTTCTCCAGTATTGGAATTCAGTTTTTGTTTTGTTTTTCAGACAGGGTCACTGTGTAGTTTAGGGTGGCCTTGAACTTGCAGCAGTCCTCCTGCCTCAGCCTCCAGAGTTTAGGGATTATAGGCGCATGCCTCCACACACATCAGTCTTGGAGTTTGAACCCAGGGCCTCACAGATGGTAGGCAAATGCTCTACCACTGGGCTACATCCCAGCTCTTTTTTTAAAAAAGTTAATTTCATTTTGAGATAGGATCTTGCTAAGGTAGTCACTTAGGCTGGGCTTGAACTTGGTTGAAATCCCCCTGCCTCAGCCTCCTACTAAAGAGCTGGACTCAGAGATGAGCATTGCTGGGCCTACCTGTTGTGCCTCACATCTCTCTTCTGCTTGCTCCTATATTCCAGCCACGGAAAATGCATTCTTCAGATTAAGCAAGCTTGAACAGAGTGACATGCTCTGCTGTCCAAACTATCCTCAGCCCTGGCCTTCTGGCCTGGCTTTTCTGAGACAAGTTCCTGCTATGTAGCCCAGGTTGGCCTTGAACTCACAGCGAACCTCCTACCTCAGCCTCTGGAGTGCTGGGATCACAGGAGTGCACCACCACACCCAGTTTATAAAAGGGGGATTTTAAATCTCAGCGCTGAAGCTGAGGCAGGACTGACGTGAGTTTAAGGCCAGTGACTTAGTGCATGTAAGTCCAGCCTGAACTACATGGTGAAACCATCTCAAAAACAGAGGGAGAGGAATTGTTAGGATGTGCAAATCTCCCCTGTAGGACAGCCTGAAATGTTGTTGCTCCCCAGTGTCCCTCAGGTCCCAGGGCTGCACGGAGGCATTTTGTCCCCTCCCTATGATGTCCAGGCCAGCACCTGCCCTGGAGGTTTAGGCTTAGACCTGAGTGTGCAAGACACTAGCACTGGGTCAGCAGTGGGACAGAAATCCTGGCTCCAGCCACCATCACCAACCCAGGCAGAAGTGAACTTGTGCTACAGGACATGAGCGAGGGTGTTCTTGTTTCGTTTTTTGAGACAGGATCTAACTGTGTCATCATCCTCCTGCCTCAGCCTCCTGAGTGCTGGGATTACCAGGTTGAACCACCACAGCTGACTGGACAGGACCTGGGTTGGTTTTATTTGTTTTTGTTTTTTTTTTTTTTTTTTTAGTACCTGGGATCAAACTCAGAACTTTGCACTTGGAAGGCAAGCATGGTGCCACTGAGCTAAATCCCCAGCCCAACAGGACCTTGTTTTTTTTTTTTTTTTTTTTTTTTTTTTTTTTTGTAGTACCTGGGATCAAACTCAGAACTTTGCACTTGGAAGGCAAGCATGGTGCCACTGAGCTAAATCCCCAGCCCAACAGGACCTGTTTCGAATCTGGATGGAATACAGCTCACCAAACCCTATCCTCAGCAAAGCCTCACCTGACGTTCACCCCTGGTGACATTTGGGGACGGTCTGCGGCACGGAAGGAAAGTTGGGACAGAGTGCCTCACGGTGGCTTTTCCTCTTTTTATTAAAAATAGACCCAAACACTTTATGTATCGTACAAAAGTTTCGTTCGCTGGTGGCAACCACGGGACGCCCCGTGGCCCTGACAATCCACCTGCCCTCCTGGGACTGGGTCCCAGGGAGCAGCGGCCAGGCCCTGGACAGAGCCGTCCACAAGTGCCCACTGCAGCGGGGCTGCAGGCTTGGGGCCCCCACACCCCACCAGTGGCGAAGGCTAGATACTCAGTACCTCATCGGAGCCAAGGTAAACAGTGGGGTGACACAGGGCCGACTGGGGGTTCCCGCCCCACCTCAGACCGGCGTCCAGGCCAGGACTTTGGCCCAGCCCAGCCTTCTCTGCACTCCTGTGGCTGAGGCCAGGCCCAGGACCTCGGTTTGTCCTCAGGACGAGCGGGTCGGGGTCTGGCTCCTCCTTGGCCCTGCCGTCTGCTTTCTGGGCCCCTGGGCCCCCTCTCCTGGTACCTCACTACCCCGACTGCTGCTGACACCCCTGGGGTCCCCCAGACCCTGCCGCAGGGACCTGGCGGGGGCATGGTGGGGCGGGGAGGCGGTGGGGAGCCGGGCCCAGGGCGGGCAGTACTCATGCTGGTATGGCCGTGGGCAGGCAGGAGGGTGGGCATGCGAGGACCGGCTGCCTGGCCCTACTCCCAGCCGTTCTCCTTCACCATGTGGGACATCTCGATGATGTACTTCCCCTCCTTGTACTTCTGGCTGGTCTCAAAAGCTTGCTCCTGGGACAGGGAAGGAACCGGCCTCCTCAGGACAAAGCCTGGTGGTCAGCACCCTGAGGGCCTGGCCCTGACTCTTCCTGGCTTTGGTACTTACATATTTCCAGCCCAGTGTGGTCTTGCAGCTCTCGCAGAAAATGTCAGCTACCGAGTGCAGCCCGGTGAGCAGCAGGCGCTGTTCGGCTGGCCCACAGCCCACATTGACCCTGTCCCGGAAACAAGGAGCCAGTGCCCACGGCCGCTCCTTCAGTCTGGGCCAGACCAGTGGTCCCTGGCTCTTCCTCTAGGGCTATACTGGCACTGCCTGGCCCCCAAGAAGGCCGCAGACCAACACCTCAAACCCCTTCACAAAAGATAGCAGAGCCAAAAGAAGGCACCAGGACCTCTCTCCTCTGGAAGGAGGATTAGACAGGACCTTGCTATGCAGCCCAGGCTGGCTTGAAACTCATGGTGATCCTCCTGCCTCAGCCTCCCAAGTGCTGGCATGATAGGCATGCACCATCACGACAGGGCTAAAGAACTCCTTTCTGGTGGCCTTACCCCTCCTCCCCAGAGCAAGAGGCGCATATGCGTGCGTGCACACACACACACACACACACACACACACACAAGCACGGCACACGCAGGAGGAGCAAAGTGGACTCACACAGAGTTAAACAGGTAGGCTCGGCCGTGGCTCCCTTGGAAGGACTGTGAAGACAGGACAGGCAGTGACCCGCAGGTCACCCCCTGCCTCCGCCCGGGCCCGTTCCGCAGGGCCACCCTGCGCTACCTTGGAGATGAGCTCATCGTGCTTGGCCAGGTGGGCGCGGCAGTGGACGCAGCTGTAGGTGCGGTGGCAGCGTGGCAGGTAGCTGCGGAAGGTCTTGGTGGGC